TCATAACAAACAAGAAACGTTCTCGTCGATGCTTCTTTCCCGGTGAATTTAAATGAAATTCGAGAAATCCGTTCGAATTCTCTGCTGCAGAAAATTATGGTCTGTTTCCTCCGAACTTTTCAGCCGAACCACAATAATCTTGGCCGCGCAACGAGCACCGACGCGTGCAAAGGGATTTCAGTTTTGTTTAGAGGGTAAAAGTAAATTAGCTTCGTTTGACAAATTGTGAAAACTGGAATAATCTCTCCGGCATCAAGGTAAGGAGACCACTTAAAGCAGAACGAACCGAGCGTCGACGGTCCGATTACGCGCGCGGAAATACTTGCGGAAATTATGATGGCCGGGAAAAGCCGACCTGTTAAACGCCGATGAAAACCGATTTCCGAAGCCCGAACGAATTGCCTTCGTCGAGTACGCCCTCTGATTAGACCTTTCTGAGTTTCTTACACACGCACACACACTGTGGAAAATCGATTTAGCGGATGGAAGAGTGTCTATCGAGATGTTGATTATACGTATTTTAATGCTCGCGTCTATTTTGCGGGACCACGGTAAAATAAAAATTTTTCTGCGAGGTAAGCCGGTTCTACGATATCGAAGACACGGGGGCCGAGCAATTTTATATAAGAACACGTTCACAAGATTTATAGATCATGACGATTTTATACGTGAAAGAAGCTGCTATGTATGGGAAAAGTGGTTCGCACGGAGTGGAATAAGTTCTGGCATTTTTGTACACAGGAAATTTGATTCTTGTCTTCATAGAGAAAAGTATCTGCTAAATCTTTCGCTAAAATACTTTATGCCATCGTTTGGATAGCTGCGTTATGCCATTTTCTGTGCCAATTTTTCAAAGTGAAGATTCTTTCACGTAGGAACTTCTTTTCATCCTTCTGATCTTTGAAGGATTTTAAATCGCAGCTACGCGATCGTGTCAGAAATGCAGCAAACCTGCATTATTGAGCATAGAGTGGAAGACAAATGCAAAGACTGTTGCAAAAATGTCTCGCAATCCGAAAATGGTAGGTTCCTGAGAGGGGTTCCTATCTCTTGTTCTAGGTTTACTTGCTTTATCTTTCATTTTTGTTTAAAGGGCGCGTTTTAACCCGTTCATTAATTGGTCAGTATTAATTGGACAGTGTAACAAAATAAAGTAATATCGATATCAATCTTATGTTCAACTACTGTCTTTTTATTCATACATTTCATTAATTTTACTCATTAATATTATATTAATTATTATATGTATTAAATATTATTATATTAATTGATATATATTGATATATATATAAATCTTAAATTACATCATCGGATTAATATTATTAATATCATATTAATATAATAATATTTAATATATATAATAATAAATATAATATTATAATATTATATATATATATACATATATATATCAATCTTAAATTACATCTTCGGATTAATATCATATTTTAGTATTTTATGAAAAACACAAGCCATTTAATAAAAAGAAACTGGAAAAAGATGACACAATTTTCTGAATAAGAATATCTTAAAAATTAATGATAATTTCGATTTAAAAAAACGTGAGTTTTTTATTTTCATTTACCATTCCAAATGCATTGGATAAAGTCGAGCTTACGTCCGGATTAAATAAAACTAAGCGAACGAGAGAGTTCTTCGAGAGATTTTTTCATAGATTTTACAGAACTTCCGTCGGCGTTGATAAATCATGCACGCTAACGTTTTTTCAATCGAATTCTCCGATGTTACATATCTGTTGCACGGACAGAGAATCCCCGCTCTTTCAATCAGGCACGTACGTGCGAGGTATGCGACCAATTCTCACTCGGCCAATTCTCGCCAACCATAAAATCTTCGGCATCGATCGACGACAATGACGACGACGACAGAGACGGAGTGAAACTCTCGCGAGAAGTAAACAATCGCCAGGCGAAACGAACCTCTCAGTGACCATAAAGAGGACCCCGAAAGCAGGAATAAAAGTGTGCAATTAATGGACAGCCGAGCCAAGCTATTCCGAATTCTTATTATCTCCGCTTGTACTCGTCCTCGGGTGTTATTAACAGCGGCGCAATTCCAGCACGGAGGTGCGGGCAACTTTCCAGCGGCGGGGCTCTTAAAAACGACACTTAAATCCTGTTTTGCGTCGCCGATAAAGCTCTCGTACAAGCCACCGATCCACTTAATTGTCTCTACGTATCCGCGATATTTTAAACGGGCACGAGGAACGCGCGAGAAAACGGACCGGACCGACCCGAGTGATTCATACCGGCTCGGGGACAAGGGCCGGCGAAAACTGAATGTTAACCTTTTAGGCCCGACGCGCCACTATAGTTGCTCGCTCTTCTAGTAGCTCACTCGCTCATCGTTTGAATCAAATAATCGTCTTCGTATGCATTGTTTCACGCTTCTTTTGTCTTCGCATCGATTTACAACAGTCTACAGGGTGTCCCAAAAATGTCTCGCAATCCGGAAATGGCGGGTTCCTCGGATCGTTTGAAGCAACTTCTTCCTTTACAAAAATGTTCTCCGAGGCACCGTTCACGAGTTATTAACGAAAAACAGTGACCAATAAGAATCGAGTACGGCTGACGCGAGGCGGCCCAGCCAACCAGCGCGCGAAGCCCAGTTCCGCGCATTGGCTCGGTCGCCTCGCGCCAGCCGAGCTCGTCTCTCATTGGTCACTGTTTTTCGTTGATAACTCGTTAACGGTGCCTCGGAGAACATTTTTGTAAAGGAAAAAGTCGTTTCAAATGGCCCGAGGAACCCGCCACTTTGAGATTACGAGACATTTTTGGGACACCCTGTATATACAGTAGTACATATCAGACTCTGCTGTCCAGAGAAATAGCCTGGCGCAGA